TTCACTACACCATGACACAAAGTCATCAACAACTGGACCATGGCTGTCCTCATCATCAGCGAGCAGGCTGACAATAACCAAGTCGTCAGCATACTTAATGATGAATCTGTTGTTGTGGCGGCTGTTACAGTCATTAGTATAGAGAATGTACAAGAAAGCAGATAAGACACAGCCCTGAGGCGAACCAGTAGAGGATGACAAGATGCTGGACAATTTTTTCAAGTGAATTCTAGGCAGAACTCTAACTTGCTGAGATCTATTTGTTAGGAAATCAAAAATCCAGCCCAGCAAACAAGGATCCAAACCAAAAGAATCAACTAGTTTTTTAACCAGGACATGCGGCTGGATGGTGTTAAACGCGGATGAAAAATCAATAAAAAGCAGCCTGGCGTGGTTTTTACTTCCTTCTAAATGCTTGAGTAAAAGGTTGGACTCCCCTTCCAGCCCTGTATGCAAATTGAAGAGGGTCTAACAGGCTCTCAGTTTTGACCACAAGCTCTGTCTTAACTAGTCTTTCAAACTGTTTCATGATCAAGGAGGTTAGAGCAACAGGTCTGAAGTTGTTAAGCAGTTTTGGGTTGTTGCTCTTGGCAACAGGCACAACAATGGACTGCTTCCAGAGAGAGGACACCCTCTGCTGGGTGAAAGATAAATTAAAAATATAGTTAAAAAGTCGCTGTGCACAAGTCCTTAGAAGGCGACCACCAATGTTGTCCGGACTGGGACTTTTTTTAGTTTTACACCCTTTAAAACACTTATATGACACTCTGTTCGTCAAAAAAGGGGTCTAAAGGAGGGGCCGACAGAAGACTGTTTCTGATCTCAGAATGTTTATCATTAAAATTGTGGACATCAAATCTGACATAAAAATAATTGAGGCTCTGAGCCAGTTGATGATCAGAATTATAATTGGCCAGCGTTACCTTTTTTCTGCTTCGCTCTTTTAGCCCTGTAATTGATTTCATGCCCTCCCAGGCTGAGACCAGATTATTCGTTCTGAGTTGAGCCTCTATTTTATCCTTGTACCTCATTTTTCCAGCCCTGACTTCTCTCTTAATTTCTTTTTGCAGATTGCGCAGTTCTAAGACATTCCCCACCCTAAAGACTTTATTCTTCTTATTAAGAAGAGTTTGAGGGACTTTGTTAACCACGGCTTAGAATTGGGATAAACCTTAACATTTTTATCAGGTATGACAATGCTTTCGCAATATGATGTCCAACTTGTAACAGCATCTGTCAACTCATCAATATCCGCAGAGGCTTCAATAAACATGTTTCAGTCAGTAGAATCGAGGAGGCCCTGGAGAGTCAGGCGAGCATCATTGTCATTCCAGTTTTTAATGCGGATATTCTGCACTTTACCTCTTTTTAGTGCAGTGCAATACATGGGAATGAGGTGTACACAGTTGTGATCAGATGCACCCAGGGGCGGGAGGGGTAATGATTTAAATGCGTCTTTGACATTACCATAGCCCAGATCTAAAGTCTTGTTGCTCCTAGTAGGGCAAGTGACATATTGGTAAAAGTCTCTCAGTGTTTTCCTCAATGAACAGTGGTTCATGTCGCAGAGGATGAGGCAGGGGCGGACTGGCCATCTGGAGGTTCTGGAGAATCACAGAACGGCCGGTACTCCATGACGGCCGGCGGCTGCCACACAGTCATCACCATTTTTTTTTTTTTTTTTGTTTTGTTTCCTTTTTCTCCCTGATAATCTACTGTTCCACGTCCAGTGCGCTTGGTGGCAGCCTTTAAATTGGATGCCAGCCGGCCCATAGATATCTATGGTGCCAAGTGGTGCAAGGACAAGAGCAGCAGAATCCTGAGAGACCCCAGCCACCCAGGCTATCGACTGTTCTCTCTGCTCAGGGAAGAGGTACCGCCCACTGATGACAAAAACGGAGAGGCTCAGGGAGAGTTTCTTCCCCCAGGCCATCCAGTACCTAAATGGAACTGATCAGCACTTTCTGACTACAGCACTTTATATTTAATTCAGCAACAGCACTTTATATTAACTCTATTCAGTAAAGCTATAAAATTCCTGACATCGTGATTGTAATATATTGCTTCTGTTTGTACTGTTGTTGTTGGTTGTTTGTGTCAGAGTTGTTGTGTGTTCATATATCATGGATTCTATGTATGTGACAAATAAAGCCTGAACTGAACTGAACTGAACATGTTATATGATCTCGTAAAATAAAAGCATTAAGTTTCTTCCAAAATAAAATAATAAGCCTACAAGTGGGATCGGTGCATCTCCCTCTTCCCTTTTTTCTCTTTTTCTCTTCTCTTCTCTTCTTTATTTTTCTTTTGTCTCTCTTGTTCTTACGTTTTTCTTAAGCTCTTATACTCGGTTCTTGCATAACTCATTCTTGCTCATGATCAAAGTTATTTTAAACTTTTAAATTTTGTTCATCCATTTTTTCTTTTACCTCCAGTGCCTTCAGTAACATTAGACAGCCGATTTCAACATTTTTATGTGTGTTAATAGTAACTTCGATAACAAGATCGAACGGCCAAAAAGATTGTTTTCAACTTTATTATAAGCGGGTAATTATAACAAAGTAGGTAAGCACCTGTTCGACCGGCCTCTTAACACTAAATTCATCGGAGCCAGCGGGGGCCAGCCACTTGTCACACTGGTTCTGTTGCTAAACCCAGAGACTTTCTGCAGCTTAACATAATCAACGTTTGGGGGCCACCCGAAAGGACACCGCCACCAGACTCCACCACCCGGCACCACTGCATTCCATTTTGTATCACCCTGCTGGAAGGCTGTGAAGTGAATCCAGGAGTCGCAAAGTGATAGTCCGGGGGTCCTCAGAAAGAAACGTCCGCCGAAATCAACGCTGCTAAGAAAGTAGAAAATGAATTTCTCTAACTCCAGGCAGCCGCTGTGTGGTAAAAGAGTTGATGTCGAATAGGAGGCTTACTTATTCTAGTCGTTAAATTTCCTTAGGTGAATGGTTTTGCGCATCCCTGCGTTCCCAATTTATCTTTAGCCACATCCTCTCTCACTATCGCCAAACTAAATAACTCACACGAGTGTTACCTCTCATTTCAGTCCATATACGTATATATATAGGCTATATATATATATATATATATTTATACTGTTGATTTTGTGATATTTCATATCATTATCATTTGCGATTCATTTACTCAATTGTTACACATCTAGCTTAAATAAATCTTAATTTTGTTGCCAAGTCGTTGTCTGTGTATATTTCTTTTGAACATTAACTAAGATCACTGTATAGAGAAGTCATAACCCCGATATTGAGATTGATTTATTATTGATAAGCGTGCTGACAAATTGATAATTGGTTTACGGAGTTATTTATTTGATTAGTTGCTTCCCTCATTAGGAGGGTGGTGCCCCAAACTTTATTACACAAATATTCTAGGTATTTCTCCTACAAAAATAAACAGAAATCTTTAGTGTTTCACCTATGTAATAATAAACTGATGTAGCAGACCACCTGGTGCATCATATTTTGATGTTTAAGTCAACAGATAAGGTGGAGGTACTTGATGAGTTGGGATGAGAACGGGTTGGGTATAGACTGATGATGTAATAATAATGATTAGAATAAGAGTACAAAGTAAAGATCGAAAATATAAACAGAATAAAATGTTTTTGTTTAAATTATATTTAAAAAGTACTCAGTGTGCAGTCTGAGACACTGAGAGACGGCAGAACACAGAGCTTTATAACACTGTCCTCCCTCATTGAATTTCTGGTCAGAAGTATGGGGGGAAATCATCTCTGTGATCTGATCCGCCTTTAATTCAGTGGATCTGTGCAGTTTCTATCTGTCGTTAAAGGTTGTATTAGTGAAGTGCTACCTGTGTGAGTGGAAGAGAGTTTGTGTTTCCTTCGTGGTCTGCTAAATCCCTCACAGTCAGGGTGTTCTCCATTAGAATAACCTGCAGCTTCATTAGTCACCTGCAGACAGAGAGGAAGAGGGTAAAATATGTTACTCACCATTTTGAAAGATGATTTATTTAAGATAATGATCCACTATAGCTGTACAACAGGACAGTCCTTCTGATATTGTATACAAATTCAGGTGATTCTAAAAAAACGTTTAGGCAAGTTTAGGCACCTGTCCAACATCCACACCTACTATAGGTCAGCTGTATGGAGGTGAGAAAGCAAGCAGAGTTTGATCATCGCACTTAGCTCTCTTTATTCATTCTTCACTCAAGTAATGAAGCTCTAGAAAAAGTTCAGTCAGGAAGACTATACTACACAGACTACTGCACAGCTACACACCTTCTCTATTACTCTATCATCTTACAGCTTCTTGTTTTAAATATGGTTCTTTTTCTGCCTGTAGTTCTTTCATGCTACAGTCGTGCACACCGTCCAACTCCCCATCACCGCCTCATCTTCACGGATTCATCCGATTTGGAGCTTGGTGTGGTTAAATGTTGTGCCTGGGGCACGTCATATATAGTGATACTCATAGTCACTCAACCTAGAGAGGTTGTAATGTCAAACCCTGTAAAGTGTAGGGTTAGCTAGCTAGCTACGGAAATTATTCTGAATGTAGCCTATACACATGCTACTTTTGCTTTTCAATGATTGTAATAGTGAATTAAGACCTATCCTGGGGTTTCCCTTTAGTTTCATTGTTTTCTGTCTCGATTGTGATGTAGTGGCTGAGTTTTACACTGTGATCTGTATGTTTGGCTTTAGCTTCTATCTTTGTCTATTTGCTGCTGAGTGAGTTTGATATCATTCAAACATATATTATAGGCTCCTCTGCCTGCTTCTCTCAGAAACCGCTTTTTTGTTTTTACAAAAGCTTGATGTTTCTTAAGGGAGTGCAGTTTGACAGTGTGAGCCAGTGTGTGCCAGCTTGACAGACCATCACAAAGGTGCGGGGCTTAGTGAGGGGTCAATTTCCAGGGAAAGATAACATGCATTTATATATATTTTTAGCTTCACATGATTTACATTACAGACCTACACAATTAATGTATTTACAGTAATATGTACAGCAATGGTATTTTTAGAGTACTATCCATCACTATCATAGTATATGTTAGTTACATGTGTGTCTTTTGCCTTTATTTTGTTTTGAGCATCCACTTAAACTAGTTAAAAGTAAAAACTCAAATTGAAGATATCTCCAGTGTAGTTTTAACAAGTCATAATTTCTACCTAGTTTCAATAAATAGAGGAGCTGTAACAGGAGCAACATACATCTCTGAGGTTGAAAGTGATCTCCAAGTTGGACCAGAAATATTCACAAAATTCAGGATACATGTCCAGAACCTGCAAACAACATTTTGGGTGTATGAAAAAAAGAATAGCACAAATAAAAAACAAACAAACAAACAAAAAAAAAAAACATACTTATTAAGAGTTACAATTAACTTTGAGCTCCCTGTATTGATCACATTGACCACCTAACACCATAGGCGCAGTTTATAAACTTTATGGTTGGGGGTCCACAAAAAAAAATCCAGAGGAAATGTAATGACAGATGTAATAGAGGCTTCTTTAGCTGCTACAGGTTGCTGATTGTTTGAGTTGTTCAGATGTTCTCAGTCTTCACCAGTACTTAATATCATTATAGGTTTTTTTTTTTACCAGTGTCCATAATGTCCGTAACTTCCAATAAGTTTAAAAATACAGCATTTAGAATTCAGTTTCTTAAAACTGAACAATTTAGTTACTGGTAATGGGTGTTAGATGGTCAAAAGTAAAGTGAAATTGACATCCCTACCTTGAGCCAAAGCAAACTGCGTCTGTACCTAACACCTACTCAGTTAGCCTTTTTACACTTTGTCTCCAGAAGGTGGATGGTTATGAGATGGAAAACAAAATCTGTGATACCTCCAACATATCTTCTCTGTGTATTTTGTGCAGATCACAGTAGGTTAGAGCTCTGACATCAGCTTTGGATTTCCCTGGCAAAGCATACAGATTGATGGGCTCCCCAAAGATATCATTCTTTCCTAAAGGAGAAAAAATGTTTTTATGATATGACAAGAGTAATCGTGATATGTTCATTTATTCATAGAAGTAACATAACTGACTCTACATGTCTTACTTGGGCAACTTTGAGCTACTAGCATATACCTACCTGAGGCTCATGCATTTACCTACCTAGGATAGCCACCACCACATCTCCTCTGAGGATCTCTATGGATCCTCTAGAGATGAAGTACAGAGCGGATATCAGGTCTCCAGCATGGACTAAGGTATCACCAGGAGGAGCGTGGGTGGTCTTAAACCTCATGGCTAGCGCCCTCAGACAGCCCTTAGTGGATCCTAGACACCATTACAAATATGATGTGTTGGTCTATTGCTACAATAACCATATTTCTTAATATTTTCTTTAACAAGGTTTCTACTAGCATATAGCCTGGCCAGTGGTGGAAGAAGAACTCAGAAGTTAAAGAAGCAGTACCACAGACAAGTAAAAATTGTAATTAAGTAAAACTACATAAGTATTAAAGATAAAAATGTCTCATGATGCAGAATGGGATATTTCAGAATAATATACAGCATACACCGTCTCCACATTTAAGACTAGACTTAAGACTTTCCTCTTTGATAAAGCTTAGGGTTAGGGCCAGCTCAGGCTTGCCCTGTACCAGCACCTAGTTAGGCTGACTTAGGCCTAGTCTGCCAGAGGACCCCCCTATAATACACCGGGCACCTTCTCTCCTTCTCTCTCTCTCTCTCTCTCTCTCTCTCTCTCTCTCTCTCTCTCTCGTATTCTATTACTGCATCTTGCTAACTCGGCCATTCTGGATGTCACTAACTCGGCTTCTTCTCCGGAGCCTTTGTGCTCCACTGTCTCTCAGATTAACTCATATCGCAGCGGTGCCTGGACAGCGTGACGTGTGTGGTTGTGCTGCTGCCGTGGTCCTGCCAGATGCCTCCTGCTGCTGCTGCCATCATTAGACATTAGTCATACTTCCACTGTTATTATACACATATGACTATTGTCACACATGTATACTGCCAGATATTAATACATACTTTCAACATATTGTACCACAGTAGCCAGAACTATAACTATAATATTATTACTTTCAATAATGTTGTTGTAAGCTACTGTCATTACCTGCATCTCTCTCTCTCTCTCTCTCTCTCTCTCTCTGTCTCTCTCTCTGTCTCATTGTGTCATGCGGATTACTGTTAATTTATTATGCTGATCTGTTCTGTACGACATCTATTGCACGTCTGTCCATCCTGGAAGAGGGATCCCTCCTCAGTTGCTCTTCCTGAGGTTTCTACCATTTTTTTTCCCCGTTAAAGGGTTTTTTTTGGGGAGTTTTTCCTTATCCGCTGCAAGGGTCATAAAGACAGAGGGATGTCGTATGCTGTAAAGCCCTGTGAGGCAAATTGTGATTTGTGATATTGGGCTTTATAAATAAAATTGATTGATTGATTGATTGATATTATTGGATTATGTTTACTGATGTTGATGTAGAAGCTGGAAAGGCAAGATGCGTTTTCTAAGTTAATGGCTGAGTATTTTTTTTACAAAGCATAAGAAGTTTGAATGCTGATATCAAACACATTGCAGGGTCAAATTATAATTTATGTGGAGGAAACAACAGGTCTATTTGTCTTAATGTCTCTGGTTCACTTCTGATTAGGTTTATATGTTTAAGTTTAAGCAATAAACCTCCTACCGTTTCTGTAGCCTTTCCAAGGCATATCCAGAGTAAATTGAAACCTATTCTAGTTCTATTTTAGTACATGTACATGGTCTTATTTTATTTGAAACAAGACACTAAGAAGGTTTTTTCAGTAGGAATCACTGTTAATGCTTCTCTCATTGAGTTATATCAAAAGTGCTGGAAAAGGTAATGGCTAATCAGCTGTTAGCTTATCTTGAGAAAAATGATATTTTTGAGAAGTTTCAGTCTGGCTTCAGGCCCCGCCATAGCACTAAATCAGCCCTTCTGCGGGTTTTTAATGATATCATTTTTACTGTAGATTCAGGATGTGCTGCTGTCTTGGTAACCTTAGATCTGACTGCAGCATTTGATACTGTTGATCACAGGACCTTGTTGTCGCGTCTAGATCAGTATGTAGGGATCAGAGGGTTGGCCCTCATGCTGCTTCAGTCCTATTTAGCTGATAGGACTTTCTCTGTAATGTTGGGTAAATTCTCCTCTAGCATGGCTCCTCTAACTTGTGGGGTGCCTCAGGGGTCTATTTTGGGACCGTTGTTGTTTACTTTGTATATGCTTCCTCTTGGGTCCATTTTTCATTGTTATGCGGACGATGTACAGCTCTATCTCCCTCTAAAAATTAACTGTGAGCACTCGCTGAATCCCTTATTAGCCTGTATGACTGACATCAAGCTTTGGATGAGCAAAAGCCACCTTAATTTGAACGATAATAAAACTGAGGTTATTGTGTTTGGACATGCAGAATGTTCTACTAACTCTTTTGATAATTTGAACACCCTCACCACAAATATCAGTGGGTTGATCAAAAGCCTTGGTGTGACTCTGGACACTGATCTAAATCTTAAAAGACAAATTGGTGTTTGCTCCCTTTGTTGCCTGCAGCTAGTCCAAAATGCAGCGGCTCGCCTCCTGACTGGCACCAAGAAGCGGGACCATATTACACCTGTTCTGATGTCCTTACACTGGCTTCCTGTTCATTTTAGAATACATTTTAAAATTCTGTTGTTTGTTTTTGTATTTTGTATCTGTTTTTATATTTTGGCATTTATCATTCTATTTGTGTGGTATTGTAATTTCTTGTAAAGCACTTTGGTGACTTCTGTCTTTTTAAATGTGCTATAGAAATAAATGTGACCTTGACTTTGACCTATATACATTTAAACCCACTAAAATAAAGCCTTTTTTAATCTTGGCCTGAATATATTCATGAAAAGCTGCTGATATTGCAGATGACCAAAACTGGGAGGTATTAGCTGAAAAAACACATTAGGACCCAGGCATGACGCCTCACCTTGTCCAAATTCAAAGCAGATAACATCAAAGACAAGAAACCTTGTGTGCGCTTTTCTAAGGTTTTGTCCAGGTGATTCCAAAAACAGTCCAGTCCAGTTGTGGCTGAGGTGATGTATGTCAGTGCATGTGCGTGAGAGACTGGATTCAGGAGGTTTTATACAGTCATATTGCCATGGGGTAGAAGGATCCCCTGAAATGCTCCGTTCTGCAATGCAGTGAGATGACCCAACTGCTGCAGCTGCTCCTTTCCAGGAGGCTGTGGAGAGGGTGTCTGCTATTGTCCATTACAGCTTTCAGTTTGTTCAATGTGTCCATCTCCACCACAGTTCTTAGTGGGTCCAGTCTTGTGTCTTGCTTGGTGTTTTTGTCCACCAAGCTGCCTCCCCAGCACACTGCCACGTAGAAGAGTATACTGGCCACCACGGTGGTGGTGATACGGTGATAGAACATGGTCAACATCTCTTGTAGAACGTGTCAGTGTTAGAGGACCAGTCCAGCTTCTCATCCAAGAGGACTCTCAGATATTTGTAGGTGTGCACCACAAGGTCCCTGTACTCATGCTCCTGATACAAGCCACAATAGCTGTATTGTCAGAGTATTTTTGTATGTGGCAGGACTCTGAGTTGTATTTAAAATCCGTTGTGTTGATTGTGAACAGGAACAACGCTACAGTCCTCTGTGGCACCAGTGATTCTCCTGGCCATCACGGAGACACAGCTTCTAATCCTGACATACTGAGGCAGCTCTGTCAGGAAGTCTGTTATCCAGAAGGTCAGGAAGCAATCTACTACCATCCCCTCCAACCGGTCTCTCAGTATGGGGGGCTTGATAGTAGTGTTGCACGGTATACTGGTACCAAGGGTAGACTGCGGTACTGTTGGGAATCAACATATATTTACCTCACACGGTGGCACCAAATATGTTGGGGTCAACACCTTAGGCTTCACACGGAGGCACCAAATATGTTGGGGTTAAATTGGCTATCGGAAATGAATTCATAATTATTATTAATAATTAATAATTATGTCAAATAATGTGACTTAATTAACATTAAATCACCTCGTGGGGCACCATTCCCGTAAAGGGAAAAATGATAGCCAGTTAAAGATATCAGTCTCATAAAATAGGCTAAACTATTAATTTGGAGTTTGATTAATAATTAAATTAATGACAACAACCAAAATTAATGGTAATGCCTGAAGGATTTCGGAGTTCTTGACGCAGCAGAGGTTGACTATTCATTCACCCTTGTGCAACATTAAACAGACGGCAAGCATGATTCCAAAGAATTATATTTATTCACAAATTAGCAGAACAAACCAAAACATACAAATTCTAACTAACTATATACAAGCTTGGTGTGTATATGTGTGTTGTGTGTGTGTGTGTGTGTGTGTGTGTGTGTGTGCGAGAGAGAAAAGAGAAAGACAAAGGTGGGTGTGGTGATCAAGTAGCCGTTTGGCCTACAAACCAAAATGGCTGACAACAGAGAACTACCAAAATGGCCGAATCAAGGCTGGCTTCCGGTCGAGGTATTTGTCTGACTGTGTGGTCAGGACAAAAACAAAGGAAAAGAAGCGGGAACTTTGAAATGCCTGTTTGGATGTAGCTCTGTTGAAAGCCTATTTGTTAATGAGTCCATGTCAATGTGACGTGTGTTGTGTCTGAATTAGTGCAGAGATTGTTTAGTTGCATGCAAGAATCTGTTTGTGAACAGTATTAGCAAACTAAACACTTAGCCGTGGCGAAGCCAACTAATCAATGACCTGACTGCAATCTATCACAACAATAACTCAGTAAACAGCATCAAATCACATACAACAAGTCAAACAGTCTTGCTTAGCCTGTAAAGCTGTGATAAGCTATGCCCAGTTGTTACATTACTGATCCTTGAATGGATGGAGGAAAGAGTCACTCGGTGGTGTACTGCTGTTAGCCGGCAGAAGAAGGCTGGGAAGATGGTTCCAGCTGCAGTCTTTGTTGGGTCCTTTGTTCCAAAGGTTCTGATCCGAGGAAGCTGGTCGCTCGGGGTCCTTGCAGAGTTAGATGCTGGGTGCTAAATCACTTAGCTCCTTGTTGCTGGAAAGCTGGTTTGCAAACCTTGTGTTTGCCAGAGAGTCTGTGATCAGTTGCCCAAGCCCAAACGGGAAGAGGTGTGCAGCTGCTACAGCAGCTGGAGCGAGAAGAGGAAGGAATCTGTTGGAAGGGAGCGCAAATCTACAGATGCCTGTGACATCAGAGTCATATGTCACTGTAAAGGTCCAATCAAGTTTTGGGACTTGAGTCTCACTGAGGTGTGAGGTGAGACCTCCTGTGGAGATGGGT